CCTTCGGTGCACCTGGGGCTAAGAATTGAGTGGGTGGGAAGAGCCCTTTGCTCGTGTCACACGGCGAACGCCAGGCTCAGGCTGCCGTCCCTCACGTGTGCCAGGCTGTGTCCAGACACTTTGCTCCCTGTGGGAAGGGCTGCTCTGGGAACTTGTCTGCTTTTTTTACCAACAGCTCCGGTTATTCCTGGAACTCGGAATGTGCCAGCCGCCAGGTGGCAGTGTCGCCTCGTGACCACTGACACGCCCCGCCGGCCTCCCCGGCCTCACCCACCTCGCAAGTAACAAGTGAAGCCGTTTCCCAACAGAGTAGACCTTTCATTTGTGAAAATCAGTCAGCGCGTTTTCCCTGGGCCTTTGAAGAAGGGAAATTATCTCCAAAGGTGTTTCCCGCCAGTTTCTGGAGGTAGATGTCCTGGGAGCCCACAGACGGCCCATGTTTCCTGTGACGCTCCGTCCATCACAGCCAGACTAGCTCCTCTGTGTCTTCTGGACCCAACCAGCCTCTGCTTCCAAATGAGCTTTTGGTCATTTTCAGCAGAGTATGCCGAGAGCAAGGCCACAGAGGATTTTAAAGCCAGTTCTTGGCCTCCGGGGAGAAGCCGTGCAAGTCAGGCACAAGGATCGGGACACGCAGGCCGTGGAGCTGACTGACCGCGCGCACGGAGACGGGCGTCATCTTGGGAGCGCGCAGAGGAGCCCTCGCTGAGCTGTCCTCCAGGGGGTCGACGTGGGCACCCATCCCTGCCGAGCGCTGGTGACACACTCTTCAGTTCTACGCCCCGCTCGTGCTAGGCCCATAATGAGGCCTCTGAAGCCGCATGGGAGACAGCTTCGTCCTCTCCGGGAGGGCAGGGACGAGGCGGGGAAGAAGGTTTCCTGACAGCTTCTGAGCCCGGATGTGCACTGGAAGCTCCGAGCTGACGCGGGCACTTCTGTCCTGAGGAGCAGAGCGGGGCGGGAAGGGGCCTGGCACCCGCCGGCCACAACATGGCCCGGGAGCCTGCTGTGACCTCCCGATTCCGAAGGGATGGCTTCCTCTCTTCCTCCAACGTCTCCTACAAGGTCCCGCCCATGATAGACCCAGCGGCACACTCTCCAGACACGCGACGCTCGTGACCGCAAACGCAGCGTTTGGGCATTGGCACGAGTGGGGCGCGGCAGATGCACGTGGACCTGCCCTCCCTGGTCGGTGACTGCTCACCCCTGGGCAACATCAGCGTCCTCCACTGCTGGCCACCCTTTAAAATTGAGGTATTTTGAGAATATATGTGTATTCTTGACCTTAATTACATGTGCAGAGTTGCTTCCCAAGTGGGGAGAAATGAATTCCATTCAAAATTTTTCTAATACATTTGTGGTAGCAAGTGGCCCGTTTCTGAAATGTTATTTTTTAACTTGTTTTGTATAAATAGAAAGAAATCTCAGTCGCAGCACCTGCTGTGAACAGACAGATGTGCGCTGGGGCCGGAGGGTCGCCCCCCTGCCCGGTGTGGTCAGACCCACACCGCAGGCTTCACTGGGCCTTTTTAGGGCAACACCACGGTGATCTGTTTTGAAAACGAATCCTCCGTCCTTTATTGGAATGAATCACCTTGAAAGTGACAGGCCCAATTCATTCAGACCAAAGACCGCGGCGCCCTTCAAAGTGCCCCTGGAGACGGGGTGCCGGCTCCTCCGCGGGACAGCAGGAGCACGTTGCCCTGTGCAGAGGCCTTCCTGGAGGGTCTGGGAAATGCAGCACCAGAGTGAGATGTCACATAGAAGCTGACTTTCCTCTTTCCTCCTCTGACCCAAATTCTGGGCAGCAGCCTGAACTTCCAGGTGGAAAGGAGGCCTGAGACGGTCCCCACAGACCCACTACCCCGGCACCACCTTCAGCCCTGGAGAGGTGACGCCCGTCCATCCCGCCTGGTGCGGGGCAGGACACATGGCCGTGGTCAGAGGGACTTGCCCTCTGTCCGGGACAAGGGAGCTTGTCTGCGGTGCTGTCTCCTCACTTGTAGAAGGAGAGTGACCCGCGCCTCATGGAGTCCTCATGGGGGTTAAACGGGGCGTCACAGGGGACCGGCTCCTCTAAGTAGAGCATGGCCCCTTCTCCCCGCCCCCCTTCGTCAGTGCCGCTCACCCCTTCCTCCCGGAGGAGGCGCCCTGGGCCCTTCAGACGGAGATGTAGCCCAGCTGGTGTCGCTGCTACCACCCTGTCTTGTTGCAAAGCCAGAGAAGGAGCTGCTGTTGGAACGTACGGTCCTGGGTGTCTCCCCATGCAGAGGCCAGCTTGGAGATGACTGCGGAGGGAGAGAAACCCTCGTCAGCATCTTCAAGAACCTCCGGGTGCCCCACGGACACCCTCCCACCAGCCTGCTTCCAGCCCTTTCCCAAGGCAGGCCCCAGGCAGAGACTCCAGGCTGGTCACCGCCCACGGGACCCTGGCCCGGGACAGGCAGGACTCTGACTTCTTCCTCTGGAAGGAGAAGCTCCTCACCGAGGACACCCCCCCCCCCCGCTTAAGGCAGTTCCAGCTGCTGAGCGTCAGGGAGGAAGCCAACAGCTGACCCCACAAAGGCCCGTGTCCCTGGCGTGTGGCACCGGGGACAGGAGGTGCCACATCAGGTCCAGGTCTCTGAACACCAGGCTGCACGTGATCTGGCTGGACATCACATGGACACAGGGCGGGAGCGGGGCCCGGAGCTGACCTGCAAAGACTGTTGTTTGTCCGGCGGGCCGGGAGCCCCGGCTGCAGGTGACAGGGCTGCTCACTCCCACCCAGAAGGAGGCCGCCTGCCTCTCCGCCGAGCCTGCTCTGCCCGGACGCGTGCCTTCTCTCTTTGCAGAGGGATCGGCCTACTTCCCAGGCGTGGAGCACGGAGCCACCTTTGAAGTTAGGTTTGCTGTGTGCAGTGGCGGGTCGGAGCCGCTCTGCTTCGTGGGCAGCTGCCTGGCTGCAGACTGGTGGTCTCCCCGGCATTTTGCTTAATTTTCAGGTTTCAAACCGTCGGCATCCCCCTCCCTCCTCCGGTTTTGGGGGGAGGGGCGGTTACAAGCACACGGTATGTTTAACTCACCCTCAAGTGCCTACGCAGGGCTTCAGCAAACTGAGCCACGAGTAACGCTCTGCAGCAGCGTGGAGCCCAGAGAAGAGGGAGCAGATAAAACTGTGCCAGCTGTGGTCCTAAAATGCCGGGGGAGCTTGAGAGCTGAGCGCTGCCAGCCATGTTCTCCCAGGGCTGGCGGTGCTGGGAGGCACTGGGGCTCCGAGCAGCCGGCACAGCCCTGCCAGGCACAGCAGGGAGAAGTAGACAGTGTCCCGGGTGGGCAGGGAGGGTGGGAGACCTGACAGCTATGGGCCAGAGTCTACTTGGGAAGGCGTGGGGGAGCGTCTCCGAGATGGGCGGGCGCAGAACCAGGCCCCAGAGCGGTGGCGGGGCTTCCTGGCGCAGGGCGCTGGGGGCGGCGGTCAGACCCGGGTCTGGAAGCCTGGGTGTTCTCGACGTCCCATCCAGCCGTGTCCCGGGAGTCTGAAGGACGCAGCCCAGTGAGAGGAAGCTCTAGCTTCTCCAGGGGGGTTTCTCACTTCCTGCAGCCGGCCAGCCGTCAGGCGTCTCAGCGCAGTGAGAGCAGCGCTGTCCGTGGAGGGGCTGGGGGGGCCAGGGTGGAGACCAGTGCCAGGGCCTCACCTGGCCTCCTGTGTCCTTCCTCCACCCAGCCAGCGCCGCTGAGAAGCCCTGTCCTGTGAGTCTGCCGTGGGAACGTAGATGTGTCTCTGGGCGGAGCCCCGGCTTCCAGGCGGCGTTTCTTGCTGGACCCTTCCGCCAGCGGCTGGGGTGGGGTCTCCCCGCTGATCCTGGTTGCCTCTGGGGCTCTGCGGGAATCTGTGCAGAACTGGCCCCGCCATGTTCTGCCCACAGCACTCCCAGGTGTATGAGCTCCCTCTTTGGTCCTCTACTGTGTACCTGTTAGTCCGCCCAGCCTGCCCAGAGACCAAGGAGCTGTGGCTCCACTGAAAATCCATCCACGTGCCTGGCCTAGAGCGGTGTCCATCACTGCCAGAGCCACCGTCCCCTCTGGGGGACCTCAGCCCCGGAGCTGGAGAAGCTTCGCCCTCAGTGCTTTCCTTCTCCTCCCACCCCCACCTCCCTCCACTGGGAGACGCCAGAGGCTGCACCACGTCCTGGGGGCAGATGTCGTCCTGTCCTTCGGAAATGAGCTGCTGTTTACCACGTGCCAAGTCTGCGTGACACACGTGTGCGGAGACGCGCAGTAAGTGAGACCTGGCCCTGCCCGAGGTCTCACAGCCCAGCTCAGGGGAGATGAACTGTAAGACGGCCCGGGAGAGGCAGGGATGGTATGGCACAGCCGGAGCAAACGGGGGCTTCGAGAAGGCTCCCAGCCGGAGGATGCCCGAGCTAGTTTTTAAAGGTAAGACAAAGCGGGGGTTGCAGGGGGTCACAGCAGATCAAAAGCGGCAGAGGAGGGGGAAGGTGTAGCTCATTGGTGGAGCGTGTGCTTAGCATGCACCAGGTCCTCGGTTCACTCCCCAGTACCTCCAGTAAAGTCAATGAATGACCCTAATTACCTCTCTCCAAAACAAAGACGGCAGGGAGGCAGAAGGGCGGTGGGGGTGTGAGCGTGTGTGTCTGTGCGTGTGTGTCGAAGAGGCAGGGGGTGGCAGGAGGCATACTGGACAAAGAACGGACACAGGGAGGCACCGGCAGACCCTCAGCCCCTACTCCCCACTGCAGCCGGGGTGGGGGCGGGGGAAGGCGGGCCGCGGAGGCTGGGCAGCCTGGCCCAAGGCAGCGGGAGCTGAGACTTCAGGAATGGTGACACTTAGGAAGCAAAGCCGGCAGGGCTTGGCTGTCGCTCATCTGGGGGCCTGTCATGAAGCGCACGTGGAGGGGGGGTGGTTTCCGGCGTGGCTGGGCTGCTGACAGTGAGGCTCGGGGAGGAGCGCGGCCAGAGTCAGCAGTAATCCGATGGCGCTGACAGCAGCAGGAGCACCAGCTGGGGCCTCGCGTGCCGGATACCGCTCTCCGCGCTCTGGGGTTGCCTCCCGGCGCGTCACCGACACCCAGCGAGGCTGCGCGGCCGAGGAGCCCGAGTTCCCTTCCTCCTGACTGTGCCCGTCGGGCAGCCCATTCAGAGACAAGGCTGTTCTCTCGGGAGAGGGGGGCCCACAGCCGTGCTTTCCAAAGCCCACTCCCATGTGGGAGATGCTGGCGGCAGCACGGGGCCGGTCTCACGAGTAAGGGGATCTGGGTCCCCTGGGCCCAGACGGACGACCTCAGGGTCTGATCCCGACCTTCCGAGAGCGTGTGGCCCCCGTGTCCCGACCATGTGTGGCTCTCAGCCAAGTCTCTCTTGGAAGCTCCCACGCCCTTGGGCAGAGGGGCCGTGTCTCTGCGTGTTTCCCAGCCCCGCTGTCACTCC